ACATCTGTTGTTTCTTGCCTTGTCAATTTTTGCCATTCTAACTGGTGTAAGGTGGTATCTTAATGCAGTTTTGATTTGAATTTCCCTGATGGCTAATGATGATGATGTGTCTGTTAGCCATTTGTATGTCTTCTTTGGAGAAGTGTCTGTTCATGTCTTCTGCCCATTTTTTGACTTGATTATTTGTTTTTTTGGGTGTTGAGTTTGAGAAGTTCTTTATAGATCTTGGATACCAGCCCTTTATCTGTAGTGTCATTTGCAAATATCTTCTCCCATTCTGTGGGTTGCCTCTTTGTTTTGTTGACTGTTTCCTTTGCTGTGCAGAAGATTTTTATCTTGATGAAGTCCCAAGAGTTCATTTTTGCTTTTGTTTCACTAGTTTTTGGAGATGTATCTTGAAAGAAGTTGCTGTGGCCAATGTCAAAGAGGTTACTGCCTATGTTCTCCTCTAGGATTTTGATGGATTCCTGTCTCACATTGAGGTATTTCATCCATTCTGAGTTTATCTTTGTGAATGGTGTTAGAGAATGGTCGAGTTTCATTCTTCTGCATGTGGCTGTCCAATTTTCCCAGCACCATTTATTGAAGGGACTGTCTTTTTTCCATTGCATGTTTTTCCTGCTTTGTCGAAGATTATTTGACCGTAGAGTTGAGGGTCCATATCTGGGCTCTCTATTCTGTTCCATTGGTCTTTATGTCTGTTTTTGTGCCAGTACCATGCTGTCTTGGTGATCACAGCTTTGTAATATACCTCGAAATCGGGCAATGTGATGCCCCCAGCTTTGTTTTTCATTTTCAACATTTCCTTGGCGATTTGGGGTCTTTTCTGATTCCATACAAATTTTAGGATTGTTTGTTCCAGCACTTTGAAAAATGTCATTGGAATTTTGATTGGGATGGCATGGAAGGTATAGATTGCTCTGGGCAGCATAGACATTTTAACAATATTTATTCTTCCGATCCATGAGCATGGAATGTTTTTTCATCTTTTTGTGTCTTCTTCAATTTCTTGCATGAGTGTTCTGCAGTTCTAGAGTATAGATCCTTTACCTCTTTGCTTAGGTTTATTCCAAGGTATCTTATGGTTTTTGGTGCTATTGTAAATGGAATAATTTTGCTAATTTCTCTTTCTACAGTTGCATTGTTAGTGTATAAGAAAGCAACTGATTTCTGTGCATTGATTTTATATCCTGCCACATTACTGAACTGCTGTATGAGTTCTAGTAATTTGGGGGTGGAGTCTTTTGGAATTTCCACATAAAGTATCATGTCATCTGCGAAAAGAGAGAGTTTGACTTCTTCTCTGCCAATTTGAATACCTATTATTTCTTTTTGTTGTCTGATTGCTGTTGCTAGGACTTCTAATACTATGTTGAACAATAGTGGCAAGAGTGGGCATCCTCGATGTGTTCCTGATCTTAAGAGAAAGGCTCTCAGCTTTTCCCCATTGAGGATGATAGTCACTGTGGGTTTTTCATAGATGGATTTTATGAACTTGAGGTATGTTCCCTCAATCCCTATACTCTGAAGAGTTTTAATCAGGAAAGGATGCTGTATTTTGTCAAATGCTTTTTCTGCATCAATTGAGAGGACATATGGTTCTTCTCCCTCCTCTTAATGTGTTCTATCACATTGATTGATTTGCGAATGTTGAACCACCCTTGCATCCCAGGGATAAATGCCACTTGGTCGTGGTGGATGATCCTTTTAATGGTGGATCCTATTAGCTAGGATTTTGTTGAGGATTATGGAATCCATATTCATCAGGATTATTGGTCTGAAATTCTCCTTTCTGATGGGGTCTTTGCCTGGTTTGGGGATTAAGGTAACGCTGGCCTCATAGAATGAGTCTGCAAGCTTTCCTTCTGTTTCTACTTTTTGAAACAGCTTCAGAAGAATATGTATTATTTCTTCTTTGAATGTTTGGTAGAATTCCCCAGGGAATCCACCAGGCCCTGGACTCTTGTTTTTTGGGAGGTTTTTGATCACTGCTTCAATCTCATTACTGGTTATTGGCCTATTCAGGTTGTCAATTCTTCCTGTTTCAGTCTTGGGAGTTTATAGGTTTCCAGGAAGGCATCCATTTCATGCAGGTTACTCAATTTATTGGCATATAGTTGTTGATAATAATTTCTAATAATTGTTTCTATTTCCTTGGTGTTAGTCGTGATCGCTCCCCTTTATTCATAATTTTATTAATTTGGGTCTTTTCTCTTTTCTTTTGGATAAGTTTGGCCAGTGGTTTATTGATCTTATTAATTCTTTCAAAGAACCAGCTTCTAGTTTTGTTGATCTGATCTACTGTGTTTCTGGCTTCTAATTCATTGATCTCTGCTCTAATCTTAATTATTTCTCTTCTAATGCATGGCTTGGGCACCATTTGTTGCTTTTTCTCTAGTTCTTTAAGGTATAGAGTTAGTTGGTGAATTCGGGATTTTTCTCTTTTTTTGAGTGAGGCTTGGATGGCTATGTATTTCCCCCTTAGGACCCCCTTTGCAGTATCCCATAGGTTTTGGACTGATGTGTTTTCATTCTCATTGATTTCCATGAATTGGTTGAGTTCTTCTTTGATTTCCTGGTTGACCCAAACATTCTTGAGCAGAATGGTCTTTAGCTTCCCAGTGTTTGAATTTCCTGTTTTTCCTTCTCAGATATTGATTCTTCCTATTCTTTTGCTAGATTTCTAAATGTTGGTGGGCTGAAGGGCACAGTCCTAAGTTCTTTTCTTCCAACAATCACTCCCTGGTTAGTCTCACCCAGTTCTATGACCTTAGATACCCTCTATACATTGATATCCTAAATCTTCAGGCTTAAACTCTCTTCTGAAGTTCCTACAAGTATATCTGAGTATTTGACATTTCTAATGGATGTCCAAAAGACTTTTCAAATTGAAACTCCTAGTTTATCACTATTCCCTCAACTTGCTCCCCTCTCTAATCATATTCTCATCTCAGTAAATGGCATGATCAACCACTCAGCTGCTCATTGTAAAAACGTAGGTGTTAGCATTAATTCTGCCATTTCATTTATCTTCCCTTACCTTATCTAATCCATCAAACCAGCCCTGCTAACTTGACCTGCAAAACACACCCCAAATCCAACCTCTTCTTTTTATCTCCTCTACTTCCATATTAGTCTAAGATATTATCTTTTAAAAAAATGAATTAGAACTCTCATATATTGCTGGTAGAAGCATGTACCCACTTTGGAAAACTGTTCAGCAGTTTGCTACAAAGTTAACCACATATGATCCAGCAATGCTACTCTTAGGCATTTACCCAAGAGAAGTGAAAGCACATGTACAAAAAGATTTATACAAGAACATTCATAGCAGCCTTACTCCTAAGAACTAAAAACTGGAAATGACCCAATTGTCCATTAAGAATAAAGTGAGGTATATTTATACAATTAATAAAAATCATCAATAAAAAGAATGAAATACAGATAATACAATGACATGAATGAATCTCAAAAATATTATGTTAAGTCAAAAAAGCAAACATAAAAAAGTCCATATGATTCCATTTACATGTAACTCAAGACTAGACAAAATTAACCTCTGGTAATAAAAATCAGAATAATGACTGCCTCTGAGTGGGAGATGGGGAGTGATGCCTGGAAAGGAGCATGAGGGAACTTTCCAGGGTGATGGAAAGTTGTATATCTTGACTGGGGTTGTGATTACATGGGAATATATTTGCTGAAATTCATCATCATACATTTAAAATCTATGTATTATACTGTATGTGAATTATATCTCAAATTTTCAGTTTTATAAAAATGTACATCATCTATAGGTGACATTATAGTGTCCTTAAAAGAGAGATAATATTACTACCTCATGGGGTGGTTAAATGAGATCATGTATAAAGCACTTAGAACAGTGCCTACCATGTAGTAAGCCCTCAGTGTTAGCCATTATTATGCTGATAATGTCATTCTCTGGCTTAAAACCTTATGATGGCATAAATAATAAAATCCAAACTCCATATTTTGGCCTACAACATCCTATGTGATCTAGCCCCCATCTACATCTTCAGTCTCATCATTATTTCCCTCACTCACTACAGTCTATACACTAGCCTTCTTTCCCTTTATTGAACAATACTGAGAACATTCCCATGTGGGGTCTTTGTACTTGCTAACCCCTCAGCTGAGAGAGCTCTTTGACAAAGTCTTCACATGGTTGGCTCTTTCTTTTAACTCTGATCTCAGATTAAATATTGCCCACTTGAAGAGACATTCCCTGACCATTTTATTTTTCATTATCTGTCTCCTCCCAGTGGCACCGCTAGTCTATGAAACAGAAACTGTCTGACTTGTTCACAGTTGTATCCTCGGTACCTAGAACAATGGCAGGCACCAATAAATATTTGTTAAAAGAATGAATAAGTGAATAATTTCCAGTTTTCTGACTTGTGCAAATGAATAGATAGTATGCATTCATTTGCTGAGATAGGGAATACTGGAAGAGTGTGTGCAAGAATGTGTTACAGTTTACATTTTTAAACATCAAACAAAGCAAATACTGAACAAAATAATCAAAACCACCAAATTTTAGGGTTTTCTGTCTCTGGCAAAAGACTACATTTAGACTATACCAAAGCATTCTGTCAGCTCTTCTCTTAAATATCTCCTAAAGAAAGAAAGTCTTTTTGTCTCAGTAATGTTTTTAACCTCTAAATTAGAAATCAAAAATTTTTTAAATTTCTAGCCTTATAATTTGAACACACATCTTCTAGAGAATAAAATATGTCTTATTATTCCTTAAATTTTTAATGCATGAAGATTGCTATTACAGTACTCAGACTATTATACTAGTAGGACTTGTCTTTCTGGGCTATTTTAAACATGTAAAGCTTTCCCTCCCCAATCAAAGTGTCTATAACCAAACCTCAAATTACAGAATCAGTGCTATTATAGTTATTTAATACCATTTGAAAAAGTCTTTCACTGAATTTTTAAGAGGAAAAAAAGTTAAGCATTCTAATAAACCTTACCTTCGTTTGCAAATCAGGAACCACAAAGCTGATGCCAAAGCAAAGAAACCAATTCCCAAAGTAACAGCACCAGCAGCCAGAAAATAAGTTAAGTGGTTAAAAAAACCTATACAAATAAATTATAAAAGATTATTTCATGCATGTATCTTCATTCTCTAGGTAAAATTAAATGACATAATAATATGAATGCTATGACATACTGTAGTGTTAAAACATTAACCAGGAAGTTGGGAAACCTGAATTCTAGGCTCCTGTGCAATACTAACAAATTTCAACACAAGGCCTCATGGTGAGTAGGGTCCAGGGTGCATTCCTCTGACCCTGCCTCGATTTGATATCTAGGTTTTGTTTGTTTTTGTACAGCTGTCACCTCCTTTTTTCTTATCTAGCTTTCTGCTTTCCCAGTCTAGCTGTAAATTTTTGTTATTTTTCCAGTATCATTCTTTGCAGTCCTCCAACATAAGACACTTTTCATTTTAAAATTTGTATTATCAATCACTACAAGAAGGCAGATGGAGGGTAATAAAGAACAAATATGAGGAACTTTAAAATATTTTAGAAATCTTCGTTTTATCTCTATTTTATCTCAGGAACAATAAAAGATCATGGCCAAAAGCTAAATAAAAGCAATATAAAATAATAGCATATCACAAGTTTAAAATTGGAAAAGCCTATAGGAATTATGTGGTATAACTCCTTCATTTTACAGATGATAAAATTGAGGTCTAGGTAAGAGCGAGACCTGAACTGAGATTAGGCAGCAGATTAAAGCCAGTCTTCTGTTTTTTTCTATTATCTTATCCCTTCTATAAACCATCTTAATAGTGGTATGTATTGAAAAGAATTAGGAATAAAGAATGCACGAGGTATTTATAGACAGGTTGGTCAAGTATTCCTTAAGATTCTGAAATCTGATACCTAACCATAAAGCAAGCTGTAGGAAGCTTTCACAAAAAGCTGTATAGAACCCAAAGGGCCTTAAAACAATTTAAGAGTACAGCTGACCCTTAAACAATGTGAGGGTTAGGGGCACCAACCTATGCACACTCACAAATCTACATATAACTTTTGACTCTCCGAAAACTTAACTACTTATGTACATACATATATAAACAACAGCCTACTGCAGACTGGAAGCCGCACCAATAACATAAACAGTCGATTAACACATATTTTGTATGTTCTATGTATTATATACTGTAGTCTTACAATAAATAAGCTAAAGAAAAGAAAATGTTATTAAGAAAATTATAGGGAGGAGAAAATACATTAATAGTCCTATACTATATTGAAAATCATCCACATATAAGTGGACCCTCACAGTTCAAACCCATGTTGTCCAAGGGTCAACTGCATATTACCTGGGAAAAAAGGGTTTAAAAGTATAAAACTATAGAGAACAAACTGATGATTACCAGAGGGGATGGGTTAAAAAGATGATGGGGATTAAGGATGCACTTGTGATGAGCGCCAGGTGTTGCATAGAAATGTTGAATCACTAAATTGTACACCTGAAATTAATATTATACTGTATGTTAATTAACTGGAATTTAAATAAAATCTTAAAAAAATAAAACTAATGGAAGATCTTTATCTGTGAACTTATTATAAGTTCCACTAAAAATATGACATGATAAAGACTTTGTATTTCCCATATTTTTGTTTCCTAAGTAATTTCCAGCTTCCAAGATGATGCCTCTCAAATCATAGTTTTCTTTGGGTTCAGAAAATGTCTATATTTGGGAATTAATTAATGGTACCAAAAAATTATAGAAGGCTATTTATCAAAGTGATACTTACAATACAAAAAAAAAAAACTTCTAAGTAAAACAATTTAGGAAGGCAATTAAATAAGTTATGATGATGTTACATATGAAAAATATCATATTCTTTAATTATTTAGTGCAGGGTTTCTCAACATCAATACTATTGATCTTTTGGATCAGATAATTTGTTGTAGGGATTGTTCTATGCATTGTACCAAAGATGTCTACAGGCAAATGTATTCTGGGGGGCAAAACTGCCCCAGCTGAGAATCACTGGCAGAGTGGTATAACAAAATAGACAGTATTCACTGATAAAAGCAAGATTGGTAAAATGCATATTTTTTAAAAATTAAAAAGACATAATCATACTCAAATATAAGATAAAGATTTCTAGGGGCACCTGGCAGCTCAGTCAGAAGAACATGTGACTCTTGATCTGGGGGTCATGAGTTCGAGCCCCACACAGTGTGTAGAGATTACTTAAATAAATAAAACTTTGGGGAAAAAAAGATAAAGATTTCTACGGACAAAAAAATAAAAGCAACACAGAGAAATAAGTAGAGGCTAAAACCACAGGCATATGAAGCACCGAGATCTGCAAGCAAGAATTAGCTAGAAGAAGCAGAGAAAATCACTGAGATAAGACCTAGACCAAATCATCCTTTGGCACTGTGAATGACTCTACATTAACAAAATCTCTGAGGGAAGGGGGTCCTGAACCACTAATAGAAGACCAAGAAGGAATCTTAGAAAATGAAAAATTCAAAAATTTTAAGATAAATTCTTCTTTGAACACAATTAATGAGATGAAATATAACACCTAATTACTTAAAGAAATGAAACTCACCTAATTACTTAAAGAAATGAAAAATATAAGGAAATATGAGATTGGAAAAGATTAAGAATATATAATATAAAAGTAATAGGGTTCCTAAAAGAAAAAATAGAGTAGTAGAAAAGCAATATTCAGGGAAATAACCTAAGAAGGATTTAAAAAATTTTTTAAATTTATATAGTAAAATTCATTTGTGTGTGTGTGCAGTTCTGTAAGTTTTGACAAATACAAAAAATATCTGTCACAGCACCATAACCAAGTTACGTGAGACTTCCATCACCTCCCAAAATTTCCTCATACTGCCTCTTAGTGGTCAAGCACTAATTTCTGGCAACCATTGTTTATTTTCCATCCCTATTCTCCATCCTTATACTTTTGCCTTATATGAATTTCATATAAATGGAATCATACAGCACGTGGCCTTTTGAGTCTGGCCTTTTTCACTTAGCATAATGCATCTGACATTCACTTACATTGTGTTGCATGTATTAATAGTTTGTTTCTTTTTATTGCTGAATAACATTCCATTTTACAGATGTACCACAGTTTGTGCATTCCCCAGCTGAGAGACATTTGTTTGTTTCCAGTTTGGGGTTGTTAGATTAAAGCTACTATATATTTGCATTAAGGTGTTTGTTTGAACATAAATTTTTATTTCAGTAGTGTCATGTAGTAAATATATATTTAAATGTGTAAGAAACTGCCATGCTGCTTTCCAAAGTGTCTGTATCATCTTGATTTCCCACCACCATTATATGATAATTCCACTTGCTCTGCATCATCACCACCGCTTGATATTGTTAGCTTTATTTCAGTCATTCTAATAGATGTACAGTGGTATCTCACTGTGGGTTTTTTTTTTTTTCTCACTGTGGTTTTAATTTGCATTTCCTTAATGAATAATGATGTTGAGCATCTTTGCATGTGCTTATTTGCCATCCATATGTCTTCTTCAGTGAAGTATTTGTTTACATCTTTGCTGATTTTTTGGAATTCCTCAAGTCCTTGGTCAGAGACATGATTTGGAAATATTTTCTCCAAGTCTATGGCTTGTCTTTTCAATTCTCTTAAGAGTGTCTTTCACAGGGTGCCTGGGTGGCTCAGATGGTTAAGCGTCTGCCTTCGGCTCAGGTCATGATCCCAGGGTCCTGGGATCGAGTCCCGCATCGGGCTCTCTGCTCAGCAGGGAGCCTGCTTCTCCCTCTGCCTCTCTCTGTCTCTTATGAATAAATAAATAAAATCTTAAAAAAAAAAAAAGAGTGTCTTTCACAGAGCAAAACTTTTAAATTTTGGTGATGTCTAATTTATAAAGTTTTTCCTTGTATGGATTGTGTTATGATCCTATCTAAGAACTCTTTGCCTAACCCAGGCCACAGAGATTTTCTCCTATGTTTTCCTATAAAGGATTTATAGTTTTATGTTTCACATTTAATTTATGATTTATTTTGAATGAATTTTTACATAGGTGTAAGGCATGGGTCAAGTTCCTTTCCCCCCCCTTTGGATATGTATATCCAGTGGCTCCAACACCATTTGTTGAAAAGACTATCCTTTCTTCACTGAGTTGCTTTTGCACCCTTGTCAAAAATCAAGTAGCGGGCGCCTGGGTGGCTCAGTTGGTTAGGCGACTGCCTTCGGCTCAGGTCATGATCCCAGGGTCCTGGGATCGAGTCCCGCATCGGGCTCCCTGCTCTGTGGGGAGCCTGCTTGTCCCTCTCCCACTCCCCCTGCTTGTGTTCCCTCTCTCACTGTGTCTCTCTCTGTAAAATAATAAATAAAATCTTAAAAAAAAAAAAATCAAGTAGCTATATTTGTGTCAGTCTCTTTCTGGAATCTTTATTCTGTCCTCTTGATATATATTGTCTATCCTTTTGCCAGTAACAACAACAACAATAATAACTGATATTCATATAGTAAATACTACATGCCAGGCACTGCTCAGTGTATTATATATTTAAACTCCTTTAATTCTCACAACAACTCTGAGTTAAATACTATTATTTCCTCATTTTCTAGATGCAGAAACAATTGAGACAAAATAAAGTTAAGAAACTTGCTTGAAGGCACACAACCACTAAGTGAGGGAACAATAGTAATCTAAAAATTGCTAAGGTCCTTCCTTATCTAGATAGGGTGGAGAATAGAGACCCTTAATATCTTTAGATCTGTTAGAAAAAAACCAATTAAGTAAGGATGCTAAATATTTAAGGATATCATAAAAAAAAGTATCTAAATGGCCAATAAACATATGAAAACTTCATTAACAATCAGGGAAGTACTAATTAAACCACAATGAGGTAATAACAACTACTCTATACGATGCCTAAAATGCAAATGACAGAAAATGTCAATTGTTGCCAAGGAGGCAGAGTAACCTGAATTCTCATTCACCATTAGTGCGAATGTAGTTTTGTACAATACTTTGGAAAATTGTTTGGCTCTATTATTAAAGCTGAACATATGCATACCCATGACCCAACAATTTTTAGACATTTACCAAAATGA